ATGAATCAGCATTATCGACCGAGCACTCTACATTACCGACCGAGCGCCCTACATTACCGATCGAGTACTCTACATTACCGACAGAGCAAAGTATGAAATAATTTCTAGTTAATTTATATGAATACACACTAGCTTCGGATATAATTGTTTAAAAGTATAGGAAAATGCAATGAAAAGCATGAAATAATTTCTAGTTGATGTATATGAATCTGCATTATCGACCGAGCACTCTACATTACCGACCGAGTACTCTACATTACCGACAGAGCAATCTGCATTATCGGCCGGGCGCTTTGCATTGCCGTCGGAACAATCTGCATTACCGACCGAACGCAGACAAACGTAACAAAGTTAAGAACGTTAAAAGTGAAAAGTATGAAATAATTTCTAGTTAATGTATATGAATCTGCATTATCCGAGCACTCCACATTATCGACAGAGTGACTTGCATTACCGACAGAGCTATCTGCATTATCTACAGAACACTCTACATTACCGACGGAGTCACCTGCATTATCGGCAAAGCACTCTACATTACCGACAGAGCCATGTGCATTAGATTGCTCTGCTTGTATCGGTGCAATTCTCGAAGCCACCCCACTCGCAGGGCTCACACGCACGTCGCTATCGCCTTGGCTCGTAACAACCTTTTTTGTAGTCGTTTAAATTTTGTTTCCCAAAAATTATTTTATTTCACTCTTTTCAGTGGCAATCTATAACCAATAGGCTTCATTCAATAACAACAGTTATGAGCAATATAGAGGAAGACCCAAAAACGTTGGAGTTCCTTGAAAAGCCTGTAATGCAATCCTTGTAATGCAGGGTGCTCGGCCGATAATGCAGATTCCTAGGTCGGTAATGTAGGGTGCCCGGCCGGTAGTACAGATTGATCAATCGGTAATATAGATTACTCTATCGATAATGAAGATTGCTCTGTCGATAATGTAGAGTGGTCGGTCGATAATGCAGATTCCTCTGTCGGTAATATAGAGTGCTCGGCCGATAAAGCAGATTGCGCTGTCGATAATGTAGAGTGCTCGGTCGATAATGCAGATTACTCTGTCGATAATGTGGAGTGCCCGGTCGATAATGCAGATTCATATACATTAACTAGAAATTATTTCATGCTTTTCATTGCATTTTCCCATATTTTTAAACAATTATATCTAGAGCTAGTGCGTATTCATATAAATTAACTAGAAATTATTTTATACTTTTCACTGTACCTTTTTTGAAATCGGTTAAATTTTTTTTCCAAAAAATTATTTTATTTCACTCTTTTTAGTGGCAATCTATAACCAATAGGTTTCATGCAATAACAACAGTTATGAGCAATATAGAGGATGACCCAAAAACGTTGGAGGTCCTTGAAAAGCCTTGTTCCGCGGGGGAGGGGGTGGTTGAAACAATTTTTCCTTAGCGAAAATGTTGCTCGAGGCTTTGTTAAGGAGATATTCCAGAAACAGAAACTCCCGACCAATCAGAGCGGTAGCATAGGCCCCGCAGGCGCTCCACCGGCATACTCGCGCTCTGATTGGTCGGGGGTTTCTGTCAATATCTCCTTAACGAAGCCTCGAACAACATTTTCGTTAAGAAAAAATTGTTCCAAATCACCCCCCCCCCCCCGAAACACCCTTTTCAAGGACATCCAACATTTTTTGGACACCCTGTATAATTGCAATTGGGATCATCAGGAATACATGTGCAAATACATGTGAAAGGGTTGATTGCGTTCGGTAAATTCCTTGTCGAGCTACACCAGAGCATAACAATTTTGCACCAACAATGATTTTAAACAATACAGAAACTCATAAATTTTTGCATCTGTGATCATTGCGAAAACCACTCCGGCAGCAAAATGTAAGAAGTTTCATCGATTTCATCGGTTTCTTGCCAAACATACGTGAAATAGTACGCTTTTTGCGATAAAAAGTGATATAAAGTGGTAAAAAATAAGACAAGGACAAATGTTTTATTGTGGGCCAAATGGCAAATGCTCTTCCAGATGCAAGAGGTTTCACTCCAATTCATCAAGCCATCTCGACGTAATCGGCAAGAATACCTAAAAATCACGGTTTTTTGGTAAAAAGACGGGTAAAAAATGACAAATCGCAAAAAGTCTTGACAGCAGGATCACCGGGGGAGCATGTTCTACAGGATTCAACACGATTCATTCCGATTGGTCAAGCCATCTCGGCGTAGTCGGTGAACAGACATTAAAAAAAAAAAAAAAAAAAAAAAAAAATATATATATATATATACATGTCGAATTGAGTAACCTCCTCCTTTTCGAAATCGGTTAAAAAGTCCTGTCACGTGTTGAACCTTTGCTATAGGCTTTTCATATACAATTAGTATCTCCTTATATTCCCTCCAACTATCATCTCGTCGCTCCTGCAACGTCTACGTCCTCTAGGTGCTCATGAACTCCGGTGGCGTAGGAAAGGATCACGTTTTCCTTTTCACCGAGGGCCAAATCAAGGACGAGATCTTTCTGATCGACATCGACAGTCTGCTGAACTCCGGCGAGGTGCCCAACCTGTTCACCGTGGAGGAGAAGCAAGAGATCATCGAGACAACGCGGCTGGCTGCGCAAGGTGGCAATCGCAACTTGGACATATCGGTCGAGGCAGTTCTTGCGTACTTCGTGAACCGTTGCAAGGAGAAGTTGCACGTGATGCTGTGCTTCAGTCCTATCGGTGACACGTTCAGGAACAGGCTGCGTCTCTACCCGAGCCTCGTCAACTGTTGCACCATCGATTGGTTCGACGTCTGGCCGGAGGATGCTCTCGAGCAAGTGGCTTTGCGCAGCACCACCGACATCAACATCGACGAAGCTGTGAAGATCAACGCGGTGGCCGCCAGCAAGTTCTTCCACATTTGCGCCAAAGACATCAGCGTTCGATTTTATAACGTCACTGGCCGACAAACTTACATCACGACCGCCGGTTTCTTGGATCTTATACGGACTTACGCGGAACTCATCAAAGAGAAGCAAGAAGAACTTACGCTTGCTAGGTGAGGAGGGAGAAAACGATCAGGGTAGAGTTTTAAAATTCGTGTACTCGGTCGAGATCTTTGTCGCGATTATCTCTGTAACTTTGGCGTTCTCGACAATCTTAACCAATTCTCCATTCTTTATTCTTCGATATTGACTAGAATCTCAAGCATTCCTTGCGCTAATGTCTGCTTGATATTAGCCATACTTTTTTTGTTCCTCTTGCATTTGTAGATACTCTTGTTCAAAGGAAACTAAATCATTTCGTGTCTGTAAAATTTGCTTATAAATATGTCAACAATATTGATAAGTAAACAGATGGACATTTAATTGTAACTACTAAAGTATAATATACATATTTTTAACGAGCGCCCACTCAATTTTATCCCTACCTACGAGCAAAACCATTTAAGTTTTAATTTACCTAGACAAAATTAACCATTTGCACTCGAGGCCTCTTTTCTTGCATCTGCCAGCAACTCGAGATGCTTTCTTATCATTTTATTGCCACGAATGCTGATCTTAGATTGACTTGGACGACGTAGCCCGATTGTTATTTTATCGACACCTCGAGTTCCAAAGAAACTAAACCTAAAGAAACATTACTGCTGGTAGATTTGCTGCGTGAATCCTAGTAGTGAGTGAGAGTCACCTCTCGAGTGCAAAGGGTGAAAATTAGTAAGAGGTTAAATGTTTATATTGAACCTAAACCCAATGAGTAATTTATCTATTCGTTGTGTCTTTTAACACGACAGAGACCGCTACATCAACGGACTGGACAAGCTAGAGTACGCAGCTAAGCAAATTGGTCAGATGCGAGTGACGCTGTCGGGGCTGAGGCCGCAGCTCGAGGCATCTGCAAAAGAAACGGCTGAGACCATGAGGAAGATCGAGACCGAGAACGTAAGCGTCGAAAAAGCGAGGATTCTGGTCAAGAGGGACGAAGACGTTGCGAACGTCCAAGCTGAAGTTGCGATGAATCTGAAAACGGAGTGCGAGGCAGACCTGGCGGAAGCTCTACCAGCTCTGGAAGACGCGATAGGTGGGCACTTGAGCCGATGGACACTGAAATTTTAACACGTTGACTGTCACATTAAAATTCGTTAAAAAATTTTCGCGAGGTTAAAATTTTGTTTCGAGACTTGAAGATTAGATCATCTAGCATTCGTTGACGTATGTAATTGTTTAACATCTCCGAATACTTAAATACTGTATAAATTTATTTTCGGTACTCGAGTTCAAGGCATTTTAAGTTCATGGCATCTCGAGTTCATGGCATTTGGAATTCATGGCATCTAGAGTCCAAAGTATTTCGAGTCCAAAGCATTTCGAGTCCAAAGCATTTCGAGTTCATGACATTTCGAGTTCATGGCGTCTAGAGTCCAAAGCATTTCGAGTTCATGGCATCTAGAGTTCAAAGCATTTCGAGTTCATGGCATCTCGAGTTCATGGCATCTCGAGTTCATGGCATCTCGAGTTCATGGCATTTCGAGTTTATGGCATTTCAAGTTCATGGCATCTCGAATTCATGGCATTTCGAGTTCATGGCATCTAGAATCCAAAGTATTTCGAGTCCAAAGCATTTCGAGTTCATGACATTCCGAGTTCATGGCATCTCGAGTCATGGCATCTCGAGTTCATGGCATCTCGAGTTCATGGCATTTCGAGTTCATGGCATTTCAAGTTCATAGCATCTCGAATTCAAGGCATTTGGAATTCATAGCATCTCGATTTAATAGCACGTGGTTCTTCACTTTTGGAATCAATATCATTAGTTTCTTAATGAAAAGTCCTGTCACCCATTTCCGGCGATCAACATGTTAACCCTTTGCGCTCGAGGCATTGTTCTATAGAATCAAATCCAGTCCACTTTTATAATAAATTTCGCATTCGTGACCCAATGAATTATTATTACAATTTATAATTAGCTGTATTCTGATATAAGTAAGATTAAAATTGTACGTTCAAAAAGTCACTTTTAAATGACATATGTCGGCCTAATGGCTCCACTCGAGCGCGAAGGATTAATATTCAGTGATACATGATTCCATGTACCAGTTGGAGAGATAGAGATAGTCTGTTAGGAACTGCTAGACCGTTCTCAAAACCTAGAGTCCTGGGAGCTGAGGTAGCCATTTTGGTCGCCCGATTTAATTACAGTTGTTCTTTAGACTCTAGTATCTCTCGAGTATCTGTCTCAGTTCCTTTACTTTCATCGTTTTGCAATCGTAGCGGCTCTAAATACGTTGAAGCCCGCCGACATAGCAGTCGTAAGAACGATGAGAAGTCCCCCTGCGGGAGTGAGACTCGTGATGGCTGCCGTTTGCGTCATGCTGGACATACCACCCGCTAAAATCGAAGATCCAAACACTGGCAAGAAGGTCCTGGACTACTGGGGTCCGAGCAAACGTTTGTTAGGCGACATGAAATTTTTGGAAACCTTGCGACAATACGACAAAGATAACATTCCCGAACACATAATGCAGGTATAAATTACCTATTTGTATGTTAGAACGTCAATGCGAATGTAAAGGCGGTTTTAGGGGTCTTGAGATGCCGATGACAGGAACCGATGTCTGTCATCGGCTAGGGATCGGTGGTTAACATTTCCCAGGTACCCCGATAGCTGGGTGCGCGACAAATTCTGAGTCGCAGATGTTATGTCTAACGCCGTGTCCTAACTGCTTGTCGTAGTTGGACCGATTGATGGACGGGATAGTGCGAATAGAACCTACACCTTGTCTCCACTCTAGCTGCGGCTCAGCTACGCGCGATATCGTCGCAGACAGGCAATTAGGACACGGCGTAAGGCCATAAAGAGTTCGATGCACCTCTTCTGGCAGTTGCCGACAGAACTGTGCCCCCATGACTCGACGTCATGGTGCTGCGTGGCACGTTGCAAAGAGATAAGGGTGTTCTCGAAGGATCTGGCCACGGAGTGGCGAAGGTGACATACCTTCTGATAAGAGGGCCATGATGAACCCCATGGCACTTATCACAGTACCTTTAGAGGATACGGATCGCGGAAATGAAAAAAAAATAGATGTAAACGTAGGTTACACGGTGCTCAAAGACTTGACTCATCGGAAAATATGATTATCCATTTGAAATACATAAGAATAATGTTGTATTTCCTTTCAAGAATATTTTCCATTAACGTGCACGATGTTGCCACGTGACTATCGTTTATTCCAACATCCAGAATTGAAGAGCTCCTTGTTGCTTCTAGGAAATTAAAACAAAGTACATGACGGACAAAAACTTCGAGCCGAAGGTCGTAGCAAGGGCCTCGTCGGCTGCTGAGGGCCTCTGCAAATGGGTGAGAGCGATGGTTCTGTACGATGCTGTCGCAAAGGTAGTTGCCCCGAAGAAAGCAAAACTGGATGCCGCGCAACGCGACTACGAGAACACCGTCAAGTTTCTGAACGAGAGACGTGAAATGCTCGTAGAGCTGACAGAGAAACTAGCCGTTCTCAACGAAAATCTGCAAATAACACTCGCGAAGAAAATCGAGTTGGAAACAGAGGTATAATTGTTATAAGAGATTATTATAAGAGAGATATAAATTGTTGCTGTACTGCGAATATGTTTACGCATTTATGATAGATGGAAATATTGGAAAAATGTATAAAAATGTACGCAAATGGAGAAGTAGACGAAATATCAGTAAAGATGTACATGTATGCTTTAGAAAATAAGACATACTAAATTTTAATTCTTTTTCTGCATCGGTGACCACTTGAATTTCCATAAACATCCGCAGTCTTACGATTACAATGTTCGAATTACAATATTCAAAGATCTCGACTGAGTACATGAATTTTAAAACTAAGATCCTCTTGCTTCTCCTTTATGAGTTCCGCGTACATTTTCTCTGCACATACTTATCACGTTGATCACGAAGTTACCTTATATAGGTGACAGAGATTCTTACCAAGGAATTCAAAAATTAATTCCGAGGATGAGGTATCGAATAAAACAAGTCTGGATAGAATTCGTAAATTTTGATCGAGTTGTAAAAATAAATACTATCGAAAATGTTAGATTAACCCTTTGCGCTCGAGGCATTTTTCTATAGAGCCAAATCCAGTCCATTTTTATAATAAATTTCTGTGAAACCAGAAAATCTACTTCGAAGAAAAACATCGACGAACGTTCATGACTCAAAGTAGTATTCTTTCAATTAATAATTAATTGTATTCTGATGTAAGTGAATTTGAAATTGTACGTTCACAAGATCACTTTTAAATTACATATGTGGAGACGCCACCCGAGCGCAAAAGATTAAATAGTTTCCACATGTATAAGAACAAAATTTTCCAAGTACAAATTTTCTAGTAAAAGTAGAAAGAAAACTAACTTTTATAGGATTCATAGGTATTCTTATGAGGTATATTTCTACCGCTCAAAGTGTTACACGCGTCCAGAGACAGCATCTAATAAAAACACGATCGAGAGTCTACAGAAACGTTTGCTCATCGCAGGTGACGAACTGTAGGAACAAGCTGATGCGAGCAGAGAAATTAATCAGCGGGTTAGGAGGCGAGAAGGATCGCTGGATGGCGGCTGCAGCGAGTTTACAAGAATCCTACGACACCCTGCCCGGCGATATTTTAATTTCTTGCGGCATGATAGCGTACCTGGGACCGTTCACGTCAACCTATCGTGTCGAGAGTTTGGACAAGTGGAAGACGTACGTGAAGAACTTGAAAATACCGTGCTCGGACAATTACGACTTCCTCGAGGTCCTGGGGTCCGAGATAAAGATCAATTCTTGGAATATTCACGGTTTACCGCGAGACTCCTTCTCCACGGAGAACGCTATCATTATGGACAACTCAAAGAGGTGGAGTTTGTTCATCGATCCTCAAAGCCAGGCGAATAAATGGATTCGCAACATGGAGAAACAAAACGAGCTTGAAATCGTGAAGTTGACGGATGATGGATACATGAACATCATAGAGCAGGCTCTGGAGTATGGTACATGTAACATTGAACCAGTGATGGGCAAAATCGTAATCGCAAATAGGAATACGATTTTGTGATCGAATATTTTCGAGTTGCGATTACGATTGAGATTGTAATCGCATCTTTCCGAGTTGTGATTACGAATACGATTACAATCGTAATCGCAAATTTTTCTGCGATTACGACCGTATTTTTAAAGGTTTACAGCCATAGAAATTCTTTACCTCAAAACCGACATCAGAATCGTGTTCCTCGCATTAAAAAACTTAGAAAACCATACATTCGTGGAAATCAAAAATGAAAAATTTTCAATTGAAATTCGTACCCATAGAGCACTTTTCTAAACAAATTTATTTTGACGAAAGCATGGTTTTCTAAGTTCTTTAATGCGAGAAACACGAATCTAACGTCGGTTTTGAGGTAAAGAATTTATATGGCTGTAAACCTTTAACAATACGGTCGTAATCGCAGAAAAATTTCCGATTACGATTTTGCCCATCACTGCATTGAACCGTTTGTCCTATATGGGGTGTGGCCGGACGGGACTGAACTTTGTTCAATCTCTTCAACGTATTAACCCTTTGTACTCGAGGCTTTTTTTTCTGGTATCTACCAACAATTCGAGATGCTTTCTTAGCATTCTATTGCCACGACTGCTAAAATACTATTGACTTCGAAAATGAGATCTCTAATTTGAGATTTAAGAATCAGGTCACCTTTGCCTCAACGAGGATCATTTTATTGGCAATTCGAGTTTCAAAGAAATTAAACCATAAAGAAAACCTAGTGGTGACTGAGTCGCCTCTCGAGTGCAAAGGATAATATTGTCTGGGGTACGACACAACTCATTCATGTCTGACCATTTCTCGCCAATTCTACTT